TTAGTGCGAAATCCTCATGGAACTTTTACACTTTTTTCTTTTCGGGGTTACACCTTGTACTTTTCATCTCGTGGTCATTAGTTGGTTATCAGCGGATCGGTGTTAAATATAGCCACAAGGGTCATTCGCATGGCCATGCACCTCGTCCATTTTGGCATGAGAGCATCAGAATAGCATTCTGTCCCTGTTATTCACGAGTCAACGACTTGCTAATCGCTCTTCGACTTGTATCGTAACGTCGTGACGTAACTGCCTTTCTCATGGGAGTTCACTGTTAAGGATAGGTTTGTCATTTCTCAGATTTTGAGTCCGGTTCCTCCGAATTTCGAACGAAGCCGACCTCTTTGCCTTTGCTATTCAAAACTGTTCTCGACTTTCTTCTTCGAGAAGGTGCTGACTATGGCAAAAGTGAAGGTCTTCTAAAGCGAAAGTGCAGTTCAAGATATCCGGATAGATGTCTTGCGGACATGGAGTTGGCAAATGATATTGTCCTGTTGAATAGTATTGGAGCGAGCTCTATCACCTGACGGCTTGCGTATGCAAGGCAGCTGCGAAAGTCGGTCTCTTCTTTAGCGCATGAAGTGAAGTTATGAGGAACCGATCCATCACAGTTCATCTGCAAGTGAAACACCGAAGTGAAGCCCTTGAGGAGGTTGATTAGGTTGACTATCTCTGCTCCATCGTCTTTAGTGATGTCACTATCAATTCAGAATTAAATCAGAGGATCGCCTCGAGTGCTTTTGGAAACCTTTTAAATATTTGGACTGAAAAAGGAATTATTTTCCCACGAAAATTCTCCTGTATGTTGCCTCTGTCAGAGCAGTGTTGTTGTATGGTATGAGCAGTTGTTTTAACGATGTATGGTTGAACTGCATACAACAACGTTGGTTTCGAGGCATAATGAGGGTTAAATTGCAAGACCATGTAAAGGAGCCTTGCAACATGAATCAGCAACGTAGAGTCAGATCTGTTTCCGCAAAAAAATAGTTTCTTCTACGATACAGCAACCTTTGTCTTATAGCAAGTGTTGCAAAGTTGCAAAATTGTCTCACAAACCAGTGACATTCAGCGTATATAAACAGTTCATGGTGGTGATCTGAACAAACACAAGCATTCTCTTTGCCACTGTGCCACTACGTCTGAACTCCGATGATATGCACATTCTTGTGTTAATGTCAGAGTTCCTATTTTGACCTTGACCATTCGATATTTCGTGTCGCTCATCTCCATTCAGCTTTATGGCTTATATGAAGAACCATATTTTGGTACTTAATAAAATATCTGATGCAGGTAAGAAAGTGCATAAAAATGTCTTCATCTTCATCTTCCATCGCCGCTTCTCCTTTCCGGTCGCTGAGGCAGACGCGTCAGACAGTGCTTCCAACGTTCCCCATCCTGTGCCAGAGTCTGAGCTTCGACAAAAGA